TGGGTTCTCTCGATGCTCCTCGCAAGTGTCTCGAGGAGTGAGGAGTCGTGCTGTACGAAATCGACTCCCGTCCAGTGATGCTTTGTAGAATGCACAGCCTCCCTGAAATCGATCGAATCGTGGTAGGGTTAGATAATGGAAACTGATCGATTTGTTCGAGGAAACAACAGAGCTTTGAAAAGCCGAACCTTTGGAGCGGTCATACATCCCGGATCCGCACCTTGACGGGGCGGGAGTCGCGAGAAGTCGGATTCTCGTATTTTGTCGGCGACCAGACCAGCCCAATCGGCTGAAGAAGCTGGGCCATTCTACGCTCCACCTCGTTGGCTCCGATCGATACGCGCTCGCCTACAGCTGTCCCATGTAGCCATGTGGATTCGATGAATAGTGCTCAAGTGCAGTGGATCCGGATGAGCTCTCAATGGTTGGGTGGATTCCGGATTCAACCATCAAGCGGGAGCAGTTCAGCGACAATCAGTAGAAACAGATAGGGAAGTTGGTCTCCTCGGTCGGCCTCGTCTCTCATTATTTACTTTCATACATTCACTTCAGCCTGTCTTCCGAAAGAGTTCTCGGAGCCGCCCCCAATTCGAGCTGCCCCGAGATCCATGCATGCATCCGCCCATCCATCGAGAAGGTATCCCGGAAGAAAGAAATGTAACGGGTTTGAAGAGCAAGAACGAGCAGTCCATCGGAGCGGGGCTGATGTGCGACTTCCGATGAAACATCGATCGGTGCGCTGTCGGAGGCTTTGTTGTAGGCTCTGCACGGACTGAGGAGCGAGACGGTCAATCCTTCGAACGAGTTGACTACCCTGGGCTCTTTCCCGGCTGACTTCTAAACATCTATCCAGTAGATCCTTGAGAGCCGACTATGCTTTTTTCGGTATTCTTCCGCTCGCTTTCTGTCGAGCTCATTGAGGTATTTTCTCGGGTCAAGGCCTCGGGGAGACCGCCGGCTAGCCCTCTTTCAATTCTGAGGGGTGCGGCAAATGATTCTCGAGAATTGTTTTGGAATGGAGACGACGAGCTCTCCTTAGTGATCAATTATACCAATTTTGATGTTTTCGTGAAACTCAAGGCTAACGTCTCTAAAACGGGTTCAAGGCACATTGGAGCGACCGCATAAACCGTCGACGATAACTACGGATCGGGAACCACTTGTTCCGAGCAGAAGAGCGCTCTTGGACGAATTACGATGACATGACGCAGCTCCTTGCTTGGCGAGTTTTACCGAACATGGAAGTCGTTACAGGGAGCAGACATTCCGTGTCTGAGGAGTCTCGGAGTCACTCTCCCTGAGCGAATCACGATGACCGTCTCCGAATGATACGCGAAAACGCGTTCATACCGTTGAAGCATCAGGTTCTTGGCATGAGCCTTTGACTGTCATCAAATTATTCCCTCGGACCCGAAAATAATATGCGGGACCCGCTGCTTCTCTCATGGGCTGCTCGGATCTCATGGTAGACGCCCGATTCATTGTCGGCTCCACCTCGAAGGAGTGAGGAGACCACCCAGGATCCCACGATAAGTACGGTGGATTCGATTCTTCAATGCCTCCCGAAAATGAGCATCGAATCTCGACCCGGTGTCCGCGGAAGCGGGGTTCTTCCGTTCTCTCGTCTATGTCTCATTATTTTATGACAATGTCAGAGGCCGCACCTTCGGCCACATCGCCCGGAAACACCCATCGCATGCGTAGCCGACGCTTATAGAGCACTGCGAGGCCCTGCGGCAGCGGCGCGGTCCACTTGCGTTTAGAGATCCACCCACATGGAATGATACCTAAATCATCATTGTAGTATGGACGATGATAGCGAATGATGATAATTTGATGATTCCTCCACGGGACGCCCCCCTATCATGTACGCAATACGTAGGGGGAGCCACGCTTTTGCTGATAAGAATTCCTGAGTTGAATTATATCACCTCACCTTGTCGTAGAATTGGATGTCTAGAGCGTGCTTCTCAAGCTCCGCGAGTGAATGGTCGGGAATATATACTCGCATATTTTCGCCTACTTTGCCATCACAGAACCCCTACTGATCACATGGAAATCATCCAACTCACAGATCCGGTGTTCATGCAATTAGGGCGATACTAGACGGGCTCCAAATCAGACACGAAAACAATGCGTTTAATGACGATAACCACTTTTAGGCGAATGGCTCGATCGTTGCAGCAGATGTGACCCAGGTGGCATCTGTCCTCGTCTACAGAAGAGTCTCTGCCGCTCACAGACAACGTACGGAGCGCTGGAAAATGCTGCAACACTCACTTCTGCTTCTCTTGGCTTCCGCAAATTCTGGTGAGATTCGTCTTTTTCCCTCGGCTGGTCCTCCCGCCTAACCAAACAAATAATTAAGCAATGACCGCGCGATCTTGAATCGATAGCGAGAGTCTACAGACAGCAAGTAGATTTGAAAGCTGCTTGCGCCGCTGAGGATTGCCCCGGCGAAGACCTGATTGATAAGGTTCGTTCCATTGTGTGCCTCCATCACGATCAGAAGATACCCGATATACAATCGTTTCGGCAGATATCCGTATTCCTCGAGAGCTGAAACTTTTCAATAATATACCCGTGATCAGTTCACAGGAGCTAACGACTTGATCTTCCTATCGGGAGATGCGTCGTGTCACAGCGTAAATATACGCGTGAAGCCACATGTCAGTCTTTCCTACGAAATTAGCGGGGACAAGAAGTGAGTATTCGTCCGGCGCACCTTTGGCCGCGGACACTTCAATGGCCGGTGTGATAGGTGTTCGAGCTCGAAGTTACGCTGAAAATTCCGATGATCTTATGAGTTTAAGTTTCAGTTACTCGCATCCTTTCAAGGATGGCTGCTTTCGACCTGTACACAGTACTGTACTCAGAGAGATATTCCTACCCATCAAAACTTGTGCCGATTTCCTGATCAACGTTGAGTGCAAGAGTAAGTCCATAAAAAATCCCAGTCTACGCGTGGATTCTCGATTCCTATCATGCTTGCCGAGCTTCCTGCTGGCACATAGGGCGATCGGTGGACGGAAGATATGTGCTGAGTGTGGTCAAGGCGGAACCTGTTTCAGATTCCTCTGAAGAAGTTTTCCTCATCAGTAAACGCACTTCGAAGGAATGCGCTACGGCGGGTCTTCGAGAGATCAAAGAAGATTTCGGGTTCATCATCGCGACAGAGACACTGGAGAAGTGCGATGAGGCAGGAGAGGATTTCTGGCGTTCCGTTAGCAGCTGGTTCGAAGGCGCTTATCAAAGTGTCGTCGGTTGGTTTTGAGGTGAATAAATTTACATTCAAGCATTAGAGTGAGGTGCGAGGAGGCAGTACTAAAACCGGGGGAAAGCGTTCCATAAAGGAAAAAATATGTATCATGGTGGCCAGAGTGTTTCCCATTCGTATTGACGGAAGGAGGGAGTTCCCAACTGATTCCCAGATCTGTAGTGACTTCAGTGCACATGTCCTCTCCCGATGCCTCGAGCGGAGGGAGGATTCCTGGGGTCGTGCGTAATCCCGGGAACGATCGAGAGCTGTACGATTGGATATCTCGAGAGGGATTATACTCGGATTTTTTGCTTTTCAAGCAGAGTTTTTTTTAAATATGATCGCAGAAGATGAAGAATATATATTTTACAGAGCTTTTTCGGGCTTAGAATATTCTCCTGCTCCGAGCTCGCTGCTGGTAGAACGAGGGGGGAGAAGCTTCGAGGGGTGCTTCGCTGAACTCGGGTCGGCGGATTCAGAATATTTTCTGTCTCGATGAGTCGATCATCTTTCATTCGCATCGCTTGTGAGCCGATGTTGCATGTCAATCGCTTCCGATGCGATGAGAACGACTGAGCGACTCCTGTCGGGGATGTTGATTCCCGCCAGACTGCCGAGGAGTCACCTGGGGACCGATGCGTAATTTGGAACCGGGAGAAAACTTCACCTAATCCGAGATGAGGGTGATGAAAACTGGACCGCTCGTTCTGAGAGGAGACATTTCCCACCTTGAGTCAACGGCCAACGCAGCTTGGCTAACTAGAACCGGGTCCGAGATCGAGCTCAGTCAGTCTCCGATCGATCATGCGCACCGCAAGATGGCGCTGGTCGCGACTCCTCCGATCGTCAGCAAGCAAGCAAGACGGTGAATAAGCCGAATGATCTCTTTGCTGCGTTTCGCATCCCTGTGCGGATGAGTCATCCCGTGGAATTGAGGATAGAGCGTCAGAGCGGTATTCTATGAGACACGCTGTATCTTGTGGTACAGTGTACTTGTCCAGCGTTCCATAGATGGCGGCAAATATTGATTCGGGTGACTCTAGAGTCGCAGCTCATATTTCCATGTATGGGTGTGTATGGGAGTGTCGTCCACAAACTTGCTCTCCCTCATTTCCGGGAGATCATTCCTGGGAGAGACCGTTCTCCACGGTTCTCTCTTCCGAGGGTCATCGCTCCCTCATAGCACTCAACGGTCCTTCTTGGGGACGTGCATCTACGCTAAGAACAGCCGGAATCGAACATCGGAAGTCGATGCAATGAGTGTCAAACCACGGAAATCACAATAACTTCTTATTCTGAAGCAAACCGATGAAAAGATGCGGGAAATGAGATTGGATCTTATGGGATCCGAGGGGGAACTCGTAGAGCTTGACGGATCGAATGCTTCTGGAAGTTTCCTCAACCGTGATTCGCCACCCTGTAGCAGAGTCATTGGCATCGCTAACAGTCATTGAGATGGGTCATCCGACAACTACAATGAGGAGACAATTGCGATGAGGGAACGACGTGTTTCCACTGAGCGTTTCTCGCGAGAGGGATAGGATGAGGTGCTCGAGAGGAAGAGCGCCTGGAAGCCTGAATCACCAGTCGATTCTCGGTTTCCAATCCGGCTCGAGCCCAGGGTACCCGTTCGCGCCCTCTCATGTTTGCCTGCTCTGGTTGCTGATATTAGCGCGTCGTTGATCCACGAGTTCATCTTCTCGATCAGGATCTGGCCTTGGAATCGAATAAAAGTGCCGTTCAGAGTATCACAGAGGCCACTCGCCCTGTGATCTTCAATGGGATAGCTCGTCTAAGGTATTCCGACTCTGCTGTGAGGAGAAATGCTGCAGTTTGTCGCAGTTCTCGCATTTCTTGTAAGTATCGCTCCCGTGAAGATCCCATTCCGAGTGTATTCAGCATTAGGCTCTCTGAAATGAGCTGTCACTATACTTGATTCAAAAGCTCTGCATTGTCAGAATGTGGCCGCTGCTACCACGACCACCGAACCGCCTCCACGAAATGTTTCGTTTAACTACGTCTCGGATATTCGTGATTACGAGGGTAGCGCATACCACATTACGTGCGAGTACGACGGCTCATCGAAAGAGCTCGCCATTCATCTAAACCACGACGGTTCAGAAGCTCTGAAGATGCTCCGCTATCAGTGGTCTGTATTCGCCGGAGTCCGATAAGCCGCAAGCTGCACTCGATCCGAAGACGACGAGGAGTATTATTCCTTCCATTTGCAGGAGAACTGAAGGCAGCGTCGTGGATGACACGTACCATTTCAAGAGCAACGCGAGCAAGAAAGTCACGTTGAGTGGAGTTCCCGCCCGGACGCGGATCTCGATCGGCTTAGTTCCTGATCCCGATCACGAGCAAGGGGGGAAATATTGGATCTACATCGGTAGCACGTGCTGGACAGGATCAAAGATCGGGAAGCCATCGAAGCCTGTTCTGAAACCGGTAATAATCATGGGCGTCTCCGAAGAGGCTGACCTCTTCGGGAAACGTGATGGATAGGCTCATATGAGCCAAGCGCAGACCCGAAGAGAAATTAGATTTTTGACAACGTTACTCTTCCAGTCCTCGGCTTTCACGCACCCGTTAGTTGAGTGGACGGCGCCGAAGAACCCGAACGGACCCATCGATGGTTACGACCTGAATTGGTGCGTGACTCAGGAAGAAAAACCGAAGACCGTCCAAACCCGAGCAGTAATGCCGACGAAAGAGCCCGAGACGCTGAAAACCCAGAATTCGAACCAAAGGAAAGCAGGAAACGCCTCGCGGACCGAAGTCGCAGTGGGAACCTCTTCCGACGACACCTCTTCGACGACGTCTACAGCATCGTCATCAACTGGGACAGAGTCAGCGATGACGTCGACGACGACTACGCCGAAACCTGAGCCGAAATGCGCTACTAAAGACATTCCTGTCAATCCGGCTAACGTCAATGTTTTCCAAGGTTACAAGACGACAATCGAGGGATACGATCCCGCTGTCGGCTATAGAGTTTGCATCCGTGCTTACAATTACAAAGGTACCGACAAGATCCATTCCGAAGAAGAATGTCAAACGCGGAAGGACCGGGCTCATTTCGAGAAACTGTACTTCGAGATGTGTCCCCAATGATGATAGTCCCTCGCGCTTCGCTTGAATTCAATGTTCTCATAGGTCATCCGCCGCCCTCGGCGGGGATCCCTGTATTTTAATAAACGTCGAACACGATGAGGCTGAATTTAGCTCTTGGAAATATAAGACTGCGCGTGGAGCACGGGGAAAGTTCTTCCGGACGTAATCTGAGCGCAAAAGCATGGGAAATCATGTGCAGTAAACAGGTCCTAGTCGAAAGTCGTAATCAATCCACCGAAACACAATCCGCACTCGAAGAATACTGCTCGACCGATCGAGAAGTCGTCCTCCCTCTCGCTAGATGTCGAACGGTAGTGCAACGGAGAAGGAACGGCAAACGTTGGCATCCCTCTTCGATTCTCACGGGGTCCGCATCGCGGGGTTGTCTCCCTGAAAACTCAGAGAAGTTACTGGTTGGAAGTTGCGATCGCAGCCAGATTCATAGTTTGCAGAATCAAGAAGAATCGAATGTCGCGGATCCCCCGACTCGTCCGTCGTTCGTTCATATCTCTCTTGACATTTAGGAGAACAACAATCTCATCATCATTGAGACTTTCATCTCGCTGACATTTAGAGGAAGCGTCAGCTATCAGCATTTTCCCTTCGCTCTCGTGCTCGGGTACCTACCCCGCTGCTAAGAACACAGGGCTTATGAGGGCTTTAGAGCAAAGAGCAGGAGAAAGCGGCGAATGTGAGAGATCGCGTCGACTGCACGCTTTGGAGGAGTATCTTTTAGACGTCGCGGGCCGCAGACTGTGTGGCAGTGAGCACAGCCGAGTCGTCAACCGAAAATTCCCAGTTCTCGAGAGGCTCGCATCCGATCCCACTGCGGAGGAGGTTCGCCTGGAGATACCCCCGTTCACGGAGGTCGGAAAGAGTATTCGAATCGCAGGCCCACTGGCAAGGGCTCCGACCTGAAGTTCGTCTGGCACGAGAAATCTATCCATCGCCAGCGGGAGCTCGACGACGTCTGTCTAAACAGTGCCCTCCGAACAGTTTTCCAGATGAGACCTTTAAAGGATGATCTATGCTTCTGGCTGGCGTTTTTGGTTTGCTTGGTGCATGTCCCGGATCGGATATTCGCAAAAGATGATTTCGAAGATGATATCGAGGAAAATACCATGAACTCGTCTTCGGGAACCATGCAGTTCCTGCCGGGGTTCCTCTCTTCGCTCAGCCTGACGCTAGTATCCGAACTCGGCGACAAAACTTTCTTCATCGCAGCCATTCTGGCTATGAGGAATTCGAGAGTGACTGTCTTTCTCGGCTCTTTCATAGCTCTGGTGTTCATGACGATTGTGAGCGTCGCTCTCGGTTTCGCGGCCAATATCGTCCCTCCGATTTACACACACTTCATATCGATCGGTGAGTTGATTTCGGCTTTAGAGGAATGTCTGGGAAAGAACCTAATCGCCGATAACAAAGAATCAAATACATCCGAGTCCACTGAGAGACGCCGAATCGACTCATCGACGATAAACCGACTTTACAGTCCGATCAAATTCATTCTTTCATTCAATGAATATTTCGCGCTCTCGCGACGAACCTCATCTGGAGCTATCTTATTCGAGAGAAATCTGGCACAGTCGATGAGCTGGCACGATGGCATGTCCCGCAGCGGAGAGACATCGAAACCGCCGTGGAAAGAAATCGAAACCGTAGCGAAAATACATAGTATCCTGCATGGAAAATACATGGAGACTTATTTCGCAGGACTTTTCATTCTCTTCGGCCTCAAGATGATCTACGACGCGTATCGGATGAGCCCTGATGAGGGTCTTGAAGAATTCCATGAAGTTGAGAAAACATTGCTCGACCATGAGAAGAAGGCGAGCCAGCCCTGTGAGAAAACTTTCCTCAGCGGAACATTCTGGCAGGCTCTGACGATGACCCTCGTCGCTGAGTGGGGTAAGATTATTCGCGCACTGCTCCTCCGCTAACTGTGCCCCGAGCCCCGACTCGAATTCTCGCTGCAATCTGTTCCCGCGCATCTCGATATTCATCTTCCGGTGACGAGTCGTACGCTACCGTCGCTACCGTCACGCAACGGGGCTTAAAGGCTCAAATGGTTGCGATTCGATAGTATCCGACAGCGCCGCGACACTGATATTGATGACCTCGAATGAATTTCAGGTGACCGTTCTCAGATTTCCACCATCCTTCTCGCGACTCGATCGAACATCTATGGTGTGATCTTCGGAACAATTCTCGGTCATTCACTTTGCACGCTACTCGCGGTCGTCGCCGGAAGATTAGTAGCTCATAAGATATCCGTGAAAACTGTCGCTTACATCGGAGGAGTTGTGTTCCTGGGCTGTGCTCTTTTCGAATTCTTATCAGGTTACGAAGATTCATCAAGTACTCTCTCGTCGACTTCCTGAAACGTCGATGGAGCTACCGAAGGTCGCGTGTAGAATGTGTAAATATGATTCAAAATAATCGAAGGCAGTTTGCGTACGAAATAACTTTCCTCATTCATTCGACCTTCCACCACCAAGGGTGTGCTCAGGTGCTACCTGGGTAGACGGACTCGAAGGCCGGTCAGGAACAATGTGCCTTAAGTTCACATAAACATACATATATGATGAATGATGAAACTCATTGTGGATGAATTCAGCTTCGTGGGGCGAGAACGCATGGGAGGGAAAAGTGCTGGGTCCAAGTGTTCTCAACCTCGGATCTTCCCCCGTCTTCCTGCTCCGAGAGGGGAAACGGGAGGTGGAACAACGGGTCGGGCCGTCCCCATTCGGAATCATCTCCCGTATACTTGATGAGCTCGCAGGGACGATATGAACAGTGGAGGAGACTCGCGGAGCGACGGTTCCATCGAAGAGTCCCCGAGATGTCGAGAACGACATTAGAGTAAGCCACGAATCCAAGGAGCAGTTACTACCAACATTCAAAAAAGCAGTTTCCATGTCTCGCACTCCCAGTTGACTTCCCTCAAAAGAATCCTGTTATGTCCTCAGCGATGTGGTGAACAATCGAAGCTGTCCCGGGGCCTAGATGGATCCTGGCTATCACTGAGTGCACACTCGTACAGATTTTGTTTGGTAGAAGAAATAGAGACGTGAGGCTGATTGAATCGTCTGCAGCGCGTGACCGCAGGGCCGAGTCTGACACTGAGACTGAATCTTCATTAAATGCTCTTCATTTTTAAAGTCCGAATAGGGAGGGGCTCATGGATGATGGTACATGACATGTCGATGAGTAATATCCATGCCGAATATTCGCTTCTGATCGCTACATCCTTGAAAATCTCCGCAACATTCGGAACAAAATGTTTGTAAGCACGGGAGCGATCATGTGTCAATTAGCCCTCTTATGGTACGTACGGTGGCCTCGGTCGGACATGTCCGGCCAAGCGCCCGTGCCAACAAATCCAGATATGAATGACAGCTTCCGAGAGCTACGGGGTAGACGGACGCTCTAGGAAGAATTCCCATATCTCAACTCTCAACCGACAAGTATCTCAACCGACCATTTTCCGAGGTGCCTCAGAGTCGCTTGCGACGCATCAATAGAAGTCTCCGAAGTGCTGGGAGCTTGCGCGGGGGGAAACGTTCTTTCCTTGAGTCCTCGAGGATATCGGTTTCTCGAAAGATTCGATGGTGCTGCCGCAAATGGAGTCGACGCTCTCTCCTTAGAAGATTTCCGAACGAGAGAACGAAGTTCATCACAATATCATCCGAAATTAGGCAAGAACAGATTCCTTCGAGGACTTCACTGCAATACTGTGTTGTTCATACAGCGGCTCCTTCCATCCGCTTCACTTCAATGTCGACTCTGGAAAACTCATTCAGAACATATTTGAGCCGGGTGAATGGCGCGCGCGCTGCCGTACCCTCCCCCATAGTTTCTACTCAGATGAGCCTCACCCCTCACCCACCGACAGCAGCCGTCTCGTGCTTGACGAAACGAAAACATCAAGACCCTTGATGTTTTGATTTAGAGACACAGTGAGCGCGACATTATTTATTGTGACTGGTTTCGCTCTGAAACTCGAGAGCCCTCGGGAACGAACCTCATTTAAATTGTGTTCCGTCTCGGCTCTGGAGTGAGTGTTTCGCGGAGCCGTCATCTATACCCTTGAGTATTCCGCGGGTAGAGTTCGACATCGCTGCAGCATTAGTCGTCGGTCTCCTCTCTGACTCTGAGACGTCCTCTACCTGAGTTCAGTGCGGATATTGATTTGAGGAGCAGAGTCAGGCCCGGCTCGCGCTGAGACTGCGGGGATTGCATTGAACATCCACCGTTCTCTCCTGTGTTTTCTCGCATGACTCGCCCTCTCGCCGGGGCGAACGGAGCCATCAGCTGATCCCACGCGCGTTCCGAAAGATCAACTCCGCTGCGCTTCTCGCCTCTCGGTAGACGACATCGCGCATATGTGGTTACCTATCCTGGCCCGAGAGAGCTCTCGGCGAGAGGATCGTTTGACGGTTTGAGCGAGATTTTGGGATTCCAAACGTTCGAATCTTTCATCATGCATCATTATATCTATTGGGGAGTCTGGCTTTCTGAGTTTGCCCTGGGTCTCTCACAGCGGAAATATTTGAGACTTCCACAATTGTGTAACCCACCGGCATACTCGTTCCGGTGGAGGATGCATAGATATGAGTTTGAGCTTCTGATTTGAGAAATTCAGGGAACTGATTCTGAGCTCCTGGCTCTCTCGGCTCTTACGGACTCTCGACTCCTTCGAGGGGCTCAGAGTCCCACCCCTAGATTGGGATAGCCCCTCGCAGATAGCCCCGGCGTCCATGTTCGCGATAACCATTGCTTATGCTCGGGGCGTCAATCGACCGATCAATAGATCTGCAATCCTAATATTCATCTGATGGCTTCGCAGGTCCGCCTCATACGTGCTTCTGATTCACATCATGAGGTCAGGATCGCTACGGAACGCCAAGAACTGCGGTTGAGCTCTCCGGGCGGCGATGTGATCATGAAACGGGAGGACCGAGCGACCGACTCCGATTCCTAGGAACAGTTCCGGAAGCGCAGAACTCTACAAAACTCGTCGGAATCGGATAGAAGCTGGGCGGGGAATGAATCTCACGCACATGAACTCAACCCCTGCGAGTGGAGGGACAGAGAGTGATTTCTTAGACGCTGACTCTTCGCAATGGAGTTCACAATTGAGCTCCACCGTCTTCATGGACGGTTTCGTCTCGTCAATGACTGTTGTGATCCTAGCGGAACTCGGAGATCGAACTTTCTTCATAGCTGCGGTGTTGGCTGTCAAGCATCCGAGGCTCGTCGTGTTCCTCGGGCAGATGGCCGCTCAGACAGCGATGACCGTCGCCAGCGTCGCCTTGGGTATGGCGGCCCATTTCATACCGAGGTAAGACGCAGAGATCACACTACCGTTGCCATGTTTGACCATTCTTTCTCGATTCCGCAGCGACCTCCTTCACCACACCGCTCGATGTCGTACCTTTGCCTTTCCATGGTTCTATGCCCGAACCCCTCACGGAACAAAGTTTTCTTCCAGATATGTCCTCCATTACGTCTCCATCGCGTGTTTCATTCTGTTTGGGTTCAAGATGCTCTATGAAGTTCGTGGATTGTTCATGAACGTGAAAGACGACGGAACCGCATCCCATTCTGACCTGGAAGCGGAGCTCGGAACCGAGGAAAGCCAACGACGGAATAGACGATGGCGTTCTCTCGGCTGCGCTGCCGCCTTTTCTATGACACTATTCGCAGAATGGGGTAAGGCCTGCCGGCAACAAGTTTCCCTCGTCCTGTCCGCCTGAACGATTCCTCGAACCATTTCTCACTATATATTTTCTCTATCGAACGATCCTCAGCAAGATAGAAAGAACTCCGCCAGGGACACCCGACGCGCTGTTTTTTCCAACGTCGTCGGCTTCTCCTAATATTCGATTTTTTTCAGGGGATCGTTCGCAGATCGCAACAATAATATTAGCTGCAACGAAAGACGTCTACGCTGTAGCTCTCGGAGCTCTGGTTGGACACGCACTTTGCACAATCCTGGCCGTTATTGCGGGACATGCAATGGCGCAGTATATCCCCGTTCGAGTCCTAACTTTGATCGGTGCATTAATATTCTTCGCGTTCGCCATTGTTGCTCTCATATCGGGTTATGATGAGATCGAGACCGATCAGAAAACAGCCAACACGACTGCGATTGAGGGCACCTCAATATATTCGTGACATTCTCCGACGAGGAAACTGCAATCCTCTACTCAAGGGTCCCCGTTCCTAAAGTCTCCGATCGTTACTCTAGTACAGCTATATATTTATATATCAACAGAGCGGAACGTGGCAGTCCGGCAGGTAATTGATACACTTTCGTGATGGAATAGCGAGACTGACAAGTCAGAATCTGGTAGGTCCCTCGAGCCTCCGTGGTCCCGGAATGGGAACAGAACTTTCTGCCAGGTAATCTGTAGATATTGTTCTGGGACTGGTATACATTGTTGTAATATACGATTGCAATTTCCACAGTGGAACGTTGTTTGAGCGTTGTTGCTCCCGCTGATTGCTGTCGGTTATTTTCTCTATAGAATCGCATGCACAACGAGTGCCTTCGTCATGAGCATATATTTTGAGAATAAAGCACCAAAGATACTTAGTGATCGTCCAAACGAGACATACTATCCCGGAGTCGAGATGCGGAAGCTCTCCATTCGAACACCTCATTTATGGAAATCAGCGTCGAGTGCGTCCAAAAGTCCAGTTGAAAAAATTTCAGGGGTATCTTTCCCAATCGAGGATGATAAGATTTCAGTGAATCAATATGAGGTACGTTTGTCGGCGAGGATCGCCGCTCGAAACTCTCCGGGATCGTGGATGTCCCAGACCCAGAACCATCTCCCTAAATGGAGAGAGCTCGGGAGAGACGAATGTACGAACCCTGCGAATAGCGGATGAATATCTCCTGGACATCGGTTTTGAGCCGGACGAAAAATCCGAGGCCTCGATCTCTAGATCCTAGAATCCGGAGTTCAAAGCATCCAGCTCATATCCGAGTCGAAACGACAGCCTCTTGGAGATTCTAGCCTCCAAGGGTCTCGAAATATCAGCCTCCCGCGGAGAGCTGAGATCTCTGCCGCAAATTATAAGTCGAACACAGCGGGGCAATTAGGTTCAGATGGAACTTGAAATAATGCCAGAAGGGTTATCCCCCGCGAAAAAAAGCTGACCTGGGTGAATGGAATTCCGCAGCGTGGGGTCCGCTGCCCCTTGCCGCGGCGATCCGATTCGCGGCGATCGAGGGCAATTATACCATGGAACACAATCGGATACGAGAAAAGGTCATGTCACGACCAACGCACTCTTTCCCTCGGATCCCGTCGGAACCGTACAGTTTAGCGGAAGAGAACAGGGGTGTACCATAGATGGAGGCCTGCCCTCCAGTCAGGGAGCTCACTTTGTGGATAGACGCTGGGGAATCAGCGGATCTCGTGACATCTGCAGCAATGAGTCTGATTATTCGGTAATCCAAAGAATCTGATTTGACCGCCGACTTGACCTCACACGACCGAGTGCGCTCGAAAATCTGATTGATTGAGGCACCTGAGTCGGGACGAGCACCACGTTAATTTCTCTAATTGATTTCTGCATCAGAGACAGAGAAAGTTCAGACTCGAATCGATGATTTTCCGAACAATTTATCCCCACAGCTGCTGATACATCCTTGCGAGATTTTTATGGGCGGTAGCGTTCAGTAATTATTGGTCGCTCGGTCGATCGGTCGGTTGTTCGCTCACCGTCGGCTCCTGAAAGCGTCGGGCAAAGAGGCGCGGGCTCACTCCGCGTCCGTCCGGGCACCGAGCAGAGGAAACGTGCGGAGGGCCGCCAGGGGACGAAGTATGCGCAGCCACTTATGCTCTTATGCCAATACTGGTGAGGTTCACCTCTGCCCGCCGGGCTTTCGATGGTCGGCCTTGTAATTACAAGCAGCGAATGACCACCGCGGCACGACAAGTTAATTGCGCGTGTATCGAAAGGTTGCCCCCGTCCAGCATGTCGCTCTCGGCAATTTTCGTCACACAGTACTCGCCAGCTTTTATGTTTTCAAGCTATCTCCTTTTTTTCTCATGCGCTCGCCGGCGACGAAAATTTTCAGATTATTCGGAGCCGAGATTAATTAATCGAGAGCAGGGCGGTTCGCAAGGAGACCTCTGCGACAAGGGAAGCGGCATTCTTCTGATCTTTTTCTCGGAGGAAACTATCTCGCGGCTCCCGCCGGCGTATTTTCCACGTTCTAACCCGACACGAAAGTCGCAGAAGAGCAACGGCACCAGGGAGCGTCTCGAATCCTCTCTGCTTCTGACGCAGCTCGGAACTTCTCCCGAGTCGAATACGGCTCTACATGAGGGGTCGAAAAGTGCTCCATGTGAGACGATCCTGCTGGAGCTGATCAGCTAATCTAGTCAATTGCGAAAATACAACACTGTCTTTTGGGCGGAGACAGGTTGGTGAACTGCGTCTCTTGCTTCGCCGTATGCTCCACGACGCTTTCATCAGTCAGAAGTTTCGACGACGGAAATGATCTACTGCTGGATCCAGTGTTGACGTAAGCGTATTTAATGTGACTCCGTGTACATATGCGAAAACGTCTTCGCTTGATTAGGTTAGTTTATCGTGAGCGCTGTCTCCAGTCGCTCCTACCACACTTCGACCGTCAGCTTCGGTCGCTGGTTCCAGTGAGTCACTGGGACGAAACCCCAGGAAACGCAGCTAAGGACTGCGACAGTTGCCTACGATAGTTCTGAGGTGGATGATGATTTGTTTGTTTTGTTTATTTAGATCGGGGTTCAATCTTGGAACTGCGAGTATAGCCGCTCAAGCTCCCCAGAAAGAAGAAAATCACTAAAAGTACATAAATTAACTTTGCATGATCTAGGTACAAGCACTGGACGACGCCGACCTTGAGTGTGATCCGCCGAAACGCAAATTCATTCAATCGGGGACAGGCCGTGATTGACCGCTGAAAACCGAGCTGAAACTCGTTTTCCGGGAATTCCGGAGAACATGTGAGACGTTCGACGAGAAAACTCGATGTGAAAAATTCATCCCGAGATACTACGGGTTTGCCCCGAGAATCGAGATGATGCGAGGGCGGAGAAATAATTCAGCTTGATCTCAACGAGGGTAGTGAAGTCGAGACTGTACTGTGTGTAAGCAAACAATACACCAGCCGAAGATTTGCAGCTCCTAAGTTGACGCAGGTGCACGCGAGCCTCCCGCCTGCGCGTCGTGGTAATGAAGTAGGTTCTCGGACGACATGTCTGAGCTTTTTGTACAAACGGCACTGCAGAGCCTTGCGAGAATTTTTCGCTTCGTGCATGTCCCGGAGAGCGTCGTCGGTATACGTAAATGTGAAATGTCTGAGTGAGAGACTTCAGTCAGTCGAAGGACCTGCCGGAGCGTCAAGGAAACAGATCCCTAGTCACTTCGCCCGCCGGCTCGCTCTCTACCAGGCCCCACCTAGTATTCTCTTCCTCATTAGAGGCGCGGCGCTGTAGTTTCCTTAATGAAGTGTCCGCCAAGGCGCTCGGCTGAAGAAGGAGGCTGTCGAACTGGCGGTCTGTCTCTAGGTCCATCGGTCGGTCTATTAGCTTTAGCTGTATGCTAAGCAAGATGCCGCGTTCAGACCTCGCTCCCGAACAACAAAGTCTCACATATACACACAATACACATGTCAGTCGTCGTCGTCCTTAACAAGCGTTTCCTCTGAAGCTGGTATTCAATACGAACTAACCACGAGGGCGCCGCTCCGAAGAACCTTATTTGGCTGCTTCGTTGCTGGCTGTCTGACAGACAGTCGGACAGACAGACAAACAGACGGACGAACAGACCGACTTGATGGTTGGTGCTACGAAAGCTGGCTCCAAGTGCCGCGGGCCAGGCCCATTACCTGTCCGTTTGTCGGGATCCCACTCTATTTTTTCCCTTCCGTTCCTCTTCCCGCCTACCTTTGTTTCCTGCGTGTGTTTCCAGCGATTTCATTGTATCAACCATGAAAGACACATCCTCTGCCAACAATACGGCGGCCACATCGGCAACCGCCTCAATACATACATGGGGACGGATCGGTGCACACTCGGCAGAGCTCGCTGTTCAGAAGTCACTTAGAGAGACAAGCAGCGCAAGGTACGCAGGAGCCCCGTTTGCTTGTTTTCTTCCGGGGATAACCATTTCGGGACTCTGAGCGAATCGCGACTCATTGGGACGGGATGTGTTAGGTGCCTCAAAATACGAAAAAAGTGGGATATCTATACATCACCTCATTTTGTTCTCCGTTTCCACAATCGCAGTCGACTGCAGACATTAGGTGGAGTCTCTGGAACCGTTTCTGGAATCTGCTCGCGGTTCCGCAGCGATCCTCTTGTAGTTCTTGGCCCCACAAGTTTCCAGCGACGAATCGCACCCTGCCCGTCGGCGAAACTCGCATCCGAATTCCTTCGTATATCAGCCTTTCTGTCTTACCTGTTTCCGTGTCGATTCGAGGCAAGTTTGATACCGATCGTAACCCTTCATTCGATCCGACTCCACATAAGTCCACCGTGGAAACTTCGCGCATCACACTTTCTACTGTAACATCAAAGTCCCTCGATTCGAATCATTCCCGATTCGGGCTATGGAATCTGGTCGTATTTCGAGCCAAGGAATACCGATGTCTCAATCGGTTCTGGAGCGATGCCGGGTACCAACATGTATTCCGCAATTCAGGCCAGGCATCGAGAGAACTCCGTGATTCAGAATACCAATTAGGAGACTCAGCTTCTCATTCGTGTATTCTCAGACCCCGTGAATCATCCGTCCTCTGTGACCAGGTAAACGTAATATGAGCTGAACCACTTACAGAGATATCCCTGCGAATCGCGAAGTATCTGGCTATGCGTACCGTAGGATGCGTGGATTGACGGGGCTCTCCCGTGCATTCTGCGGATTCCGGGCGACGGAGACTGCGTGTTCATCAAACACATATCCAGTGGATCCCCTCGCTCTGTGCAACGACCCCTGGAGCCCAGCCGAGCTTTATTGCAGTACGAATCGCCGAAATCGGGGCAATGAATCCACGTCAGAATTGATTCCATCGCTGCGGTACACACATCGATGAGGAGGTGTCCTATTTTCTATGTCGGTGTATTCGTAAGGAGTTTGAGCAATCCAATCCGACGAATGCACGGCGGTCAATCCAATCTGCTCCTTTTTCTTTCCCTCCCTCTTCACGTTCGAATGATCGTCCGTAAAATCCATTCCACTCTCGGTCGCTGGCCAGCTCGGCCGCGCGTCCCGTACTCCCCGTTGGCTTCCCGCGCGCCGCAGCCTACA